GGGGAAATTGGTCTTGATTCCTTTCTGTACAATGACATCTAAGAAACTTTTACCTGTGGCATCCATGGAAGGCCTGTGAAGGGGAAATGCTCCATCTCTCACCCTCTGGCCCTTCTCTGGCTGGCTTTCTGTTTTGTAACAATCCCATTTGGAGATCTGAGGGTGGCCACCCCCCAACCCCTTCCTCGCATACCACTAATGCTAACACGGTAATTTATAAAATGTCCAACACACCATGCATTACCACTTGTTCTGACATCGTCTATAGAAACAGATGAGAGTGGGTGTTTCTATTGTGACAGATGCCAGCTGCATTGAATTAATGCTTCAGAGAGAAATATAGCTAGTGCATAAATGCATACACAGCTACTGCAGGGTGGGGAGGGGGCACACTCCCAACATGCCGAGAGGGAGCCTACGGCCTGGACCAACAGGGTAATGTTGTCAAGGACAGACCAGTCTGAGGTCAGTACGTAGATGTATCTGACACGAAGGAGCAGGTAACATGGAAACACGTCCTTAAAATGAAAGGTGGTAAAGGAGGAAACTGGAATTATGAAAAGATATAGAATCAGGCATTTCCTGGTGGCTGATTGAGAATCCACACCTTCTTTTCAGATACTGCTGTAAGCACTGCTCAAAAGTGGGGCAATGCATCATCTCTCTGTGAAAGTTCAGCCTTCCCCCGACCCCTTCCTATGCTTGGGAAAAAGAAACCCCAACTTGGTCTAGTCTAAGCCCCGTTTTGGAACTGCATGGTTGTATGTTTTAAATCATTAAGTACATATGAATGCAATAATTGGTATTTATTACAACAACATTTTGACACCCATCTGGTTTCAGAGTTTCAAAAAATTCTTGTAGGGTTTTTTTTTTTCTCTGAAGAGCTTATTATTAAGTTTTGACATGAGGAAAAGAATATTTTCTTTTTATTTTTAAGATAAACTGTTAATGTTAAGGCAATAGCACCAAGATTATTTTGATTGCTGAGCAGTTACCAAAATGTGTTCCCACTCATGCCTTAATTAATTGAACAGAGACCATTATCTGCTTTATTACAATGTCTTGATTCATATCTTTTCAAAAACAATGTCACAGAGCATGCACAGAAGAAGGTAAGAGAAGCTTTCAGATATTTATTTTTTAATTTTTAACAGATACTACCTAATCTAACTTTTAATATAGTCATCTTAGCATGAATATGATGTGTTGTTTTTTAGAAGATTTTCTTTTTAGATATAAATTTTTGGAGGTTTTAATTTGTCTCTAAAAGAGGGTCAGACACATCGACCATCTGATTTCATTGTTAACTTGTGAGTAATTATAGGTTTTTAAAAATATTAGGCAGCTTTGGAGGAGCCAGGTAGGGCAGTCATTTTAATGTCCTGTTCTCTACCTGGATTACTGCAAAAATAAAAATGCTGAGGGCCATCTTGATGAATGTGATTTAGAGATTTCAAAATATCACTGCCAGTTTCAGATCATTTTTTATTCCTTTGATAATAACACTTTCCTTTGAAAATGGGCCAATTTATTCTTTCAAGAAAAAGCTTATCTGGCCTATAATTAGGTGGTCTAAGAAAGGGATCAAAGGAGGGTATAGAATCACTAAACCTTATTTCACATATTAAATCATGCACGTGGTTTTAATTTAATTTCCCTGAGGTAGGATTTAAGGGTGCTGGATCTTCTTCTTGATAAGGAAAAAAAGAGAGAGGATTCATTCCTAAGCTAGAAGAAATGGCTACTTAACCCCCACTCCTCCAAACAGCTGGCTTTAAAGAAGTGGCCCAGGATCCAAGAAAAACTACTCCATGCAACCTTGACAGATGAAAAGAATGACCCTACACTCAGACCACAGATGATACGACTACCAAAAATTCAATTATTAGTTGTTTGAATTTTGCATTCTCAAAGTTAGACACATTCTTGCTCCTTAGATCTCAAAGTGCTGTACTGTTTTATGACCTTAAGAAGTATCCCTACATAACATTTACATTACTAAGTCTTGATCCATTCAGAAATTTTCATTTAGCCCTGAAAATAATGTTTCTATATCCTGCTATTTGCTGATTCCAGAAATATGCTTCATGGTTTAAATGGTCTCTAGGAATTTTTTATTTTTATTAAAAAAAAATCTTCTAGGTAGGTGTACTTCCCTTTTAAATTTGGATCAGGCTAGAGATGATTGGCCAGCCCATCAAGGAAGTTTCCTGAACTGATTTTGGGTGACTAACTCCTAAAGTCATGTCACCTGCATTTTTCTTCCCCCAAAGGTAGAATCCTTTCACAAATAATTCAGGAAGTGAGACATAGTTCTCAAGCATTCAGTAGGCGTAAGACAAATTGCTAGTGCCTTATATATAGCAAATGTCTTACAAACATGATGCATGCCAGAAATAAACAATATCGTCTCTGTATGATCAGCAAAATATGTCTAATTATCCCTCTCCATCTCTGTTATATAGGATGTATAGAAATAAACAATACATATCCATGCCAAGATCACTTAAATTTAAATTAGATCTAATGTGAACTGAATACACACTCAGCATCATATATAGCAGCCATCCATGACGGTGCCGAAAAAGTAGGCATTTGTGGGATGCCTAGAGGGATGTTAACTGGTAGATTTGGTACTTTGGGAAGGTTCACATTGGGTAGGTTCACATTGGGTAGGTTACTGGTTAAACTCCTGTGGAAGAAACAGACAGAAAGAAAAAATACCATCACAGTGACAATGCAGATGTGGCAGAAGCACACGACAGTTGTAAATAAATTGGTTAAATCCACAGCAAGACAACAGTGAAAACTCAAGTGACACATTTTACAAAGTGGCTTATGGATGGGGAGCTGTGGCGTGACTCAGTATTCAAAGAGAAATGATGAAAGTGAATGGAAAAAAAATTAACCATAGAGTGACTTAAATGTGTGGACACTCATGGGGCACCCACACACAATGATCACATTATTTAAATGTCTTGGGGGGGGATATTTGGTTTCCAAATCCATTGCCATAAGAGTCTAGAACTTGTCTCATACTAAGAACTTGAAGTCATGGAATTCGTGGTGGGGCTGGGCTTCTGTGGAGTAGTTGGGATTGCCAGAAATGATAAAACACTTCAATTTTCTTATTTTTATTTATAAGTTATTGTTGATAGAGGCACATTTCTCAAGTCGGATATTAGATACATGATGAAATAGGAAATTCACCCACTTGAACACACACATAATGATGATGTACAGAAACTGAATTCTTTCCAACTACTACTTCTGAAGACAGGTGTGTGTGCAATGGGGTGTCAGAGTTGATGGTGAAGATTAAAAAATCATATTAAGAAGGATCAGCTTTGAATAATTTTATAGAACATTTAAAGTACATGGAAACATCCTCTCCCAAACTAAGTCCAATTAAAGTGGAGAAATGTTTATACGCAGAAACAGATACCTAGGAAAAGAAAAGAATCCCAAACTCAGCTTTTATATTAAATACTTTGACCAAAAGTGGATTTAAAATATGGCTTTCTGTCATGGTGGTTACTCTTGGAAATGGGATAGAGGCTGGAAGAAAGCATGACAGGGGTAAGGGCTTCTGGGGGGCTGGGAATGTTCTGTTTTTTGATCTGAGTAATTGCTACATGGGCGCACTTTTAAAATTAATTAAGCTCAGTATTTTTCTGTAAAAAGTTAAAATAAGTTAAAAATGACTAAGAAGTTAAAAATGTTATCTTGTATCTGCTTTTTGCTTTTGAACAAAGGTTGATCAATTGACGTGATGGAAGAGAGATGGATGATTTTATGAGTAAAGAGAGAAAACAAAACCAAACAACCCCCCAGCTCGAGTGAACGATATTGTCTTTGGTGGGACTCTGTCATTCACTGCTCCACAAGTTGATATAGCATGTCTCTGTAGTGGCATTTTAAGGGTGTTCCATCCAGCCAAAGTCACTGGCACCACAGAGCCCAGCCTAACTTTGCATCTGAGAGGAGCCTTCCTGTTTAAGTGAAGTTGACAGCACTTTGGCAAAGGAGTTGAGGTTCTCTTTTTGGATCTTGTGGGAGAAGAGCAAGTTTTGCCAAAGCAGCTCTGCCCGGGGCAAGCTGTGTTTGACTAAAAGGACTCCTGCAGGGGCTGGAGCTGCCTCTGGGCTTGCTTAGGGGGGCAAGCCTCCTGCTAAGTCAGAAATTTTGGACTTTGCAGATAGCCTGCATGCCTGCCTCCCTCTAGAAAGAAGTTACTCTTTCACAATAGCAATATAGCCCTGGCTTGTAGACTGAAAAACCTAGAAGCAAAAATTGCCTACCTGGCATTCTTTTCCTTAGGGGAAACAGGTGTCTCACGGATTTGTACTTCACACTTCATGTTTTGGGAACGCCAATTATACGTCTCTACTTGAGACTAAAGGGTGCTCTTGTGGGAATTGTCAAAAGAAGATTAGCTAAATATGATTATTAAGTAGAAGGAAAAATGAAACTTTTCCTTGCATGTGTCTCTGTTTGGCCGCGAATTTGCCTTTGAATTCAGTCCCTGGTGGTTCTCAGTCTTAAACACTGCCACGTAACAAAACCGTTGGCGATTTCCACTGAGACATGTGTAAGCCTATATAAGCAAATGTGATCATTAAATGATACACACACTGAATAATGATTAAGGAATTAGGAGATTTTAGAGATGGCAGCCTGGAAAGTTAAAATGTCAATTCTGAGCAAATTAAAAGTAGCTAGGAATGAATAACATACAAATGTATGCAAAAGCAACTTAATTTAAACGTATTAGCGGATGGCGAGTACACAAATTAGAAGCGAGCTTTATTTTTCACACAAAAATAAAAAATACTTATATTAATCAAAACAATGTATTTGTAAAATATGACATGTTGCCTGGACTACTGCACTGGGCTCATACAGAAACATTTCCTTCATGTGACATACTATAATGCTCTACTTTTAAAAGGATGAAACATTCTTGATACTTTTGCTTTTAGCAAAATAATATAGTGCATTACTAATGTTAGTAATACTTCATTTAGATATTAATAACATATTAATAATCAAGGAGGCAATTCCAAGCATAATATTTCAGAAATATACATGTGAAAAGGGAGAATTTTTTAGTAGTACTCAGTTCCGATCAGGCTCCTGGAGCTGCTGATGACTATTAACAAACTACTATTTTAAAGAGGGCCCTTTAGCAACTACCTATAAACAAGTCAGTCATGCTCCTCTGTCAGAATCATAATTGGATATCTCTGGATAGTACAAGAAATGTAAATTGCAATCCTAACAACTGATATATGCTAAAAATTAGACTCTTTCATTCACTTTGGGGACTGCTGAGAAAGGATAGTTCCCATGAAGGTCAAAGGGCACATCTCTGGAGCACTGGATTAAAAAAATTCTCATCTACTCTCTCACATGGATGAATGTTACAGATGTGTGTGTGTCTCATCATTTCTACTGATGGAAATGACTGGAGGTGGGGTCATTCCTTATTTTCTAGATTTAATTCTAACCAAGACTGTTTCTCCATGTAGAAGGGATATGGTTGTGTCTTCTCTTAAAGATTTCTGCTTTAGACTTATAGATGGGGTTAGATTTAAGACACAGAATACCATCTACTTTTATAAGCCATTTGTTGCATGAATATAGGCAGTACATCTTGTCTTCTCTTGGTGCTCTGGACATTAAAGACTCTCTCACTAAAGCATTTGTTCTTAGGTCTAATGCATACTTTGGGGCATGTGCACTCTTTAATAACTTCCTAGAGTCTAAAGTGGTATTTCTCAACCTTTTATTCATCAACACTCCCACCCCGAACTTCCTTCTCCATGAAAATTTAATGCCACAGATATACGGTATATCTATTTATGTATTATATGTACATCCGTGCTTTACACATAAAAAGAGTAAGGTGTTTTTTTGTTTGAACCTTCCCCCCCCGTCCCCCAAAGCCAATTTTCATCAGCTTGAGGGCTGTAAAGCCCTTGATGAGAACACATCACCTGGAGAATAAAGTTCTAAATTTCATGGAATTTTAGAATCTCTTGAACATCTCTCCAACTTATGATATGCTTCTTTTATAATCCACGCTAGCCAAAGCTGAACATTCACTGCTTTTATTGCATGCCCTGCTTTCCCCTGTATTTCTACTTGTGCTCATTTTCTCTCTCAGCATGCCTATCCCTTTTGAAATCTTACTCTTCAAGCTATTTCCTTCATGACCCCTCAGTGGAAGGTCATTCCCCTCTACTCTACCTTCACAACTCTCCCTTGCATTGTTTGTACATTGGTAAATATTTAAAGTCATTTTTCTTATCTGTGTGTTGCTCAGACCCAACTAGAGCAGAAATGTATCTTTTTCTCTTTTCTACCCCCATGGTTTTCCTATTGTATCCTTACAGTGTTGAGCTTGGATGGGTTCCTTAATAAATATGTCAATCAATGAACAAATGTTTATTGAGCACCTGTTATGTCCTGAGCCCTGTTGTAGGTATTAGAGAGGCAGGGATAATTAACGTGTGTTTATAATCATGTATGTATATGTATGTGGATATGGAGTCACATGTCATGAATGTTTGTGTTGGAAAAGCTTTCATTATTCACAGTTCTTGTTTTACAGAGGAGAATGCTGAGTCTCAGGAAGGTCAACCGAGGGAAGATCTCAGTTCAGAAATCTTGGTCGTGCAAGGTCGACCAGCAAGATATGGCAGACTCAGGAGATCTGACTCCAAGTTCACCTTGATATCGAGACACATACATTTGTTCTGATAGCTTATTATCATTAAGATGATGAATATGTTAATATGTTTCACTATAATAACTATTTTACCATATGTGTATCTTATGAGATCATGTTTTATACCTTAAATATACACAATAAAATTTATTTTAAAAAAGATAGTGACATCTTTGACAATCTGGAAAGGGACATTATATTAAAAATACTTTTCATATGCATATCTCAGGCAGAAAAAGAGAAAGTGCATTTGATAAATGAGAAACCCAGATTTTACGGGGTACACATGTCAAGAAGCAGTATTTAGTTCTACTATTCAGAGCCATCCTAACCTGAAATGGGAACCTGAAGTCGAGGATTCACTGTGCCTAGGGCTATTTAAGTAGAGGTTGAGTAACCATCTGTCAGGAAAAGGGTAGCAAGGGTGAGGAGGTACTTGATTTGATAAGACTTTAGATTATATGCTTGCTAGGTTTTCTTCCACCTTGAAGTCCAGTATGACTCATTAACAATGAGCCAACACTAATGTGCTGGTGGAAATGTTGTCCACCTGCTTGTTAGGGCCACAATTATATTCAAAGCAGCCAGGATGGTTGTGAGCAACCTGCCACTTGCCCGGTGACCCTGTGACATGTCCTGATGAATACCAATGAAAGGGCTATGGACTGTAGATTTTATTGACAACTTGGGCCTGTCCTTGAGAGGCTGACTGTCTTCAGCTGTGGTTAGAAGCTATGAGATGACATTTTCCACTGGTGCATAGTGATTTTAACCACAAACGTATCTGGCTTAAGGGAAACAGAGATGCAGCCTTTCTTTTCTGTCCGTGCAGAGACAGAAGAGATGGAAGGCCATCTTTCTAGGGACAGGCAGCATAGGACTTAGCCATTTTACCCTTTCCAGCCAATATACTCGATTATATCAAACCCAAATAATTACATCTCTATTTTCGTTTAGAGGGCCATATTTTGAAATAAGAAAATCTGAAGAATAAAGAAAAATTTTTGTTCTGTTTTTAGCAAACTCAATACATTGGTAGTATATTCTTGTTAGACTGCTGTTTTTCTTTAACATTTTGAATACTAGCTATTTTGAAGCAAGCTTTACAATGCACTTATCATTTTACCTGTAATCAGGTGCCTATCATCATGACTTCTGAAAAGTGAAAGAACAGAACTATTTGAGAATAATTGTTTGAAAGGCTTTTGTGTGTGTGTTGTGTGTGCACGCACACATGTGTGTTGGAGGATAATGTGGCAAAAACTGAAAAGACTGGGCAAGCTAAATCTATTTACCTATGTCAGTTTCTTGTTTGGGGGTGAGCCAGATAAAAAGCATTCAAAAAAGATCATTTTTTTCCTTGGGGAAAAAAATTCAAGAGGGAAAAATGAATCTCTGCTTCTTTATCAACCCTCTAACAAGAGGTCAGATGAAAGTTCACTTTGTTTCTCTTCTCCTGGTAGAAACATGGAGAGACTCACTCCTCCTAGCACAGACGCATGTCCCAGAACTCTTTTTCCTTCCATTTTCTGCCATTCTGCAAAGCTGTCCCATGGCATTCACATTCTGTTTACAAACCAGCTAATAAAATGTATATGGTTTAAAAGAATTTTCATTTAGCTTATGTTTTAGTTGGCACTTTTAAATATCTCCATACTCTGAAAGGCACATACCATTGAGTGTGAACTGAACACACTGCGGTCATATTCACTAACCCACCGCACAGTTTGGGACAGCAAAAAAGCTACTTAAAACACACGCGCGCACGCACACACACATCTACGTAATTCTCAGGTTGTTATTCACAACTATTATTCCTTTATACATTTCTACATCTTTAAATTACTGAACCAAGAGTTCAATTTTATTTTTTTAATCAGTAAAAAAAAAAAAAATCCCCAGCAAAACATTCCCACACTAAGACTTCCAGTTGTGAAAATGGTTTTGAGTCCATCTTTACTTCTGATGGTATTAAGAATATTTAATGCTTCAAAAAAGGTATCGTGGTCAGATGTTTAGTTTCTGAAGAATTCAACAGATTCTAAAATGACTTAGTGACATTATCAAGGAGCTTCACTACAATTCTCAGATGCTGGGTAGGGGCTTTTTTAAGAAAACAAGTTTTGCAGATGAGCAGACAAGATCATAGAAGTTCAAACCCTTGCCTCCTGGCTAGGGAATGGTGGAAAAAGCCCTAAATCTAGGGCTCTTGAAGGAATAGTGAAGGATACTGATCATTCCTTCCCGTGCGTTGGTAGTAGTAGCTTAGACTTAAACCCAAGTACGTAAATGCTATTTCAAGACCACTGCTATTTGCAAAATGTAAATATTACTCATTTCAACATTTTTCCTGTCACAGCTGTTCTCTAAAGCACAACTGTCTTGATTATAATGAGAATTAAAAAGAAAATAAAGTTTCTCATTAATGCCTTAATCAAGGGACCCAGTTTTATCCTCATGAGTTAAAAGTCAGCAGGACCATATTAAGAGATCATTATAAACCTGAGAATAACAAGCTAAAATTTACATTTCTTGGTACTTGCAAATGAAGAGCTACTGCCTATTAACCTGTTCTCAGTAGGGTAAATAAAGAAACTTCTCCTGTGGCTCAGATGTGGAAGGGGACAGAGAAAGCAATTTTGCATTGATTTATAAGTTAGAGTCTTACACACGGTAGCATTAGATGGAGGATCTCAATTCAGAAAACTGCACAAGTCAAGACTTTCAGATTGAGAAAAAGCCTCCTGAATATTTTTCAGAAGTTCCTGAAAGTGTGCTTTTACATATGTACATACATACCCCATTTTCCTCCATAATAGTGGCTACATCCCAAAGGTGTAAAGGACTAGAGAGAACAAAATGATTTTCTTAAAGGGAGGGGGAAAAAAAAAAAAGAATCTAACAGGGCAAAGCCAGTACCAGGTTTTACTAGAGCTTGTCAAACCATGCCACAAAACACTCTTCATATAGGAGTCTCTGTTTTTCCAGACAGGGGAGTCTGAAATCGACCCTCTGGCAGTCACAGCCCTCTTCCCTGCTGGGGAATGGAGGTGTCAGTGCATCCGCCAAACATTTTCAAATAGGATCAAAGATTCACCAAACAGTTGTGGAAATTGACAAACTTGCAACCCAAAGGATCTCCCATAATATGTCCTGAAGGATAGATAGCCCATTTAAAAAAAATGCATTCTGTGGTCAAATATGTTTAGGGAGCTCTGGGTTGAGCAGAGTTAAATGAAATTCCATATGACTTTATTCTCAGAGTTTTAAAATATGCCAGTGTGCTTTGTGGCTCTCTGGAGACAAGGGTGTGGGTGGGTGAGTTGGGTATATAGTGTTTCCTAAACGTACTTGGCCATACAATTGTTTTCGTGAGGTGTGTCTCAAAGGCCTAGACCATGGAATGGCAAACTATGGTCCTGTTGTATAAATAAAGTTTTACTGGAACACAGCCACACGTGTTCATTTATGTACTGCCTGTGACTATGCTACAACAGCAGAGTTCAGTAGTCATGACAGGTATTACGTGGCTCAAAAAGCCTAAATATTAACCATCTGGCCTTTTATTAAAAAAAGTTTGCTGACTCCTTGCCTGGGACCCTATGGAACACACTTTGGGAAACACCTGTTCCTAGGGATAACACCATTGGAGTAAGATACACAGTACAAATATCACAACCAAGTTTATATCCCGTATTCCTTATTTACTGTGTGCAAAAAACCAAAGATTTCATTTCATAAAACATTCCTCAACCTCTTCCCCTCGACTATTTGGGCAAGGAAGCTATGAACACCATAGTAGGAAATATGAATGGTGTTTCTCTCTGTCCATACGAACAATGAAAACCATATGACACCATTAATCCATTTCTGAATGACTCTCCAGCCATTTGTACCCAAATTCCGATGGTATCAAAAGAGGTTTCCTTACTTGACTGGTTCCCATGACTCCCGCTCAAAGCCCCTGTGAATGGACTGTGCAATTGAGGACTCCATCAAATCCACATATCTAACAACAAGCGGGGCAAACAGGTCTTGCAGGTGTTTGTGAAATTTTCCATTGCACAAGTTATCTAGAACAGATAAGCAAAAGCTCGGTAAGAACGTACAGTTGCTTTGCCAACATACAATGCACACAAAGAGATAATCGTCTTTTACATTAAATACACTGCTTTTGAGGAAGCCAACACAAGAAGAGAAGAAAAAAAGCACAGAAACAGCATCAAAGCTCATGCTTAAATCTGTTTGAAAGGGGAATGGAATTCAAAAACAGTTTACCTCTTCGTGTCACTTTTCTAAAAGTAAAAACAATCACGTTCCTTAAAAAAACAACAAAAACAACAATCCACACTATTTTCCATGTTTTTCTTGCACCCTCTTTTCTTTCTCCTATTAAGTTACCAGGAAGAAAACATCCTTCATATTCTCCCCTCCTTCACCACCTTCCCTGGGGAGGAAGGTCTATCTTATGGCTGTTGTTCCTGTAAGATACTCTGAAATGCTTGATGCTATTCAGCTAGAATTTATTTTTCATCTAGAAAGCATCTTTTGACAAAAGTTGCAAAATGGAAGAGGTTAATTTTTTTTTTGAGACCAAATAAAACACAAGGAATAGACATCTCTTCTCACATTGCTCTCAGGTTCTTCTCTCTAGTTAAAGGAGGGCTTCCCTGTAATAGAACACTTTTTTGGAAGAAAGGGAATGCCCATAGGCTGCAAGGTTGTTTGTTTTGTTTTGTTTTTTTAAGTAATAATAAAACTATGAAGAATTGTGTCCAGCCTGTAGTCAGCTTGGGATAAAGACATCTTAGTAATCTGTTTATGTGCACACACTTAGGAAAGCCAAACAGTCAAAGACGATACATACAGTCGGTGCGGAGAAAATCATTCAGCAGCTGAAACAATGGGAAACTGTCCCAGGTATCTGGGGGTTGCACCTCTAGCGCTGCATCCATATCCACCGCAAACAGGGACAGAAACGTCTCCGCATGCTCCACCATTAAGTCTGACCACCACGCAAAGGCCTTTGAAATTTGGCAGAAAAACAATAGACACAGAGGTGATGAGTTTCTCTCTCGGACAGAAGACATGAACTCCAGCCCTCACTGTTCAAGATTAATTGTGCATCCAGCAGGGTTTGGTAATTGTATTGTAAAGAGAACAGCATTTTGGATACAATTGAGCCTCTGAGAGTCCGAGGCAGTGTTTTTCGTGATTCCAGGCCTGCCGCAGAGAGCTTTTATCCTGACCTGTGGGTCAGATGATGCAGCTGTAGAAATGACAGACGTGGAACTTCTGTTCAATTTACAATAACTCGGTATGTTTTGAGTCATGCTCGTTATCACCGCTGTTCGCTAGCTCTTGCTCTAAGGTACTAGAATTTGGGAGTTTCTTCACTGTGTTTATGGGTTTTCTGCTGGTCTAACTTGAAAATTTGCAGTTATTGTTCACATATCTTCATATCTGGGGCTTAATTGTCTATGGTCTCATATAAACTCAGGAACTCATGTTTCCCTCCACATTGGAAATATTACTCCTATTTCATGCTAAGTCAAAGAAAACCACTGTTGCAATTGTCACAAAACTTTTGAGTCAAAATCTCTTTAAGCAGGGAGGCTTTGGTTTTGCATCCACTCTAGAGGAAAGATCAGGCTGAGGCTAGGAAACACTAAGTAAGATCACGACTTTCTTCTCTGGGGGTTGGATACATATGTACATTGAAAACCAAAAAATATCAGTGAAGTAACTCATTTTCATGCACATGGGCCCTTGTAAATCATTGTGCAGGGTCTCAGGGGCGACATTCACATCGGACTGGGCCAGATGTGAATGCAATTCAAAGGCACGCATGCATGTTGACTAATCATTTCTGGCAGGGAGCATGCAGAATGAGTGGCGGTGTCAACAGGCCCTTTTCACTGATTTCAAAGAGAGCAGAAAAACAAAAACAAATCGCCAGCCCTTTCTCAACCCACCTCCCCACTCAGTGCCGTAAAGTATTTACATTGGAAACACTTTCCGGAGCATTCACCAAAAAAAGATGGGAAGGCGTTTGGAAACATGAAAAATGGTTATGGAAATAATTCCATAAATGAAAGGGTTTGTTTAATGGCCAAGCTCTTCTGTGATCTATTAGTTGTTTGGGGGATATTCTAACAGCCACTAGGAGGCAGAATAGGGGTCTGCCTCTCCTGTTTCATGAGATTTCACTTTACTTACTTCTCCTTTATCAACATGTGGCTGGTTTGCAAATTAAATGGAAAAAATCAAGTCATGGACCATTCTGCAAGGTCGGCTTGGCTGGAAATAGACACCTGCTGTTTCCATTTTAATTTACAGTAAAACCTCACTGATTCAGAGTAATGGGAGAGGGGAGATGCTTGTCTGTCAGCAAAAAAGCCTAAATTATTGGGCTTTCTAAAGAGAGAGATCATTTTACTGCTTTCAAATGCAGTCTGTAATTGGGGACCAAAGTGAAAGGTATTCATGAAGTCTATATCGGTTGTCATGAGAATGTATCATACACGTAAAAGTTTTTTTTTAACATCTAATAATTGTAGATAAGTTGACATAAATTGAAGTCAATGACACAGAAGATTTAATTTCATAGGTCCTCGGATGGAAAACAAGTACTGGATTCCTCCAACTTGTAAGAAGAGCCTTTAGAATTTCCAGAGAAAGTTAAGACCACGTCAAAGATTTTACTTAAGGAAAATTAAAAGAGCTACATCTGTGATGGAATTGTTACAGATTCTAAGTATTTGGGTCTGAACTGATGAGGTTTTATTGTAGTTTTACCACCTGGGGATGAGAGCCCTGAGGTGTGGGGCCTACTCTGCTTTCGACCTGGCTAAATCCAGCAGAGGGAGAAATCCTCCATCCCACATAGCCACCCACCTTTTAGGTAGAGACCCTCTACATACTGGAACTTGCTGGAGTCCCATCCCCACCCCCTGACCCTATATGGTGGGCTGACTCTCTTCAGTCCTGATCCAGGATATTTGTAAAATTCACAAAGGCACACCAAATATTGGCTAGTACTTATTCTTTAGTTATTTGATTAACTACATCTTCAGGGTGAGTCCAAGAAAACAGTTACTAGGAAGACTGAATTTCCTTCCCAGAAACAATTTTGCTCTAGGATGACAGGAAAAAAGATGAAACAAAAAACCAACCCTGAATGCTTGAAATTAGAAATTTCTTAACCCAACCTCATACCTGGTTCTTACCAGCTTTTTTATTTAAAAGTTGCAAACCGGAGGCCAATAAGAAGCACCACGTCTGCCATCTATAGAGAACTTAGTTCCCTGTTATAATTTATTATTGAGCAAATATCTACATTCCTTGCATTAATAATCATAGAGATAGGTAGCCCTACAAAGAACCATGACTGTTGTGATATGAATTATCACTATTGAAGTCTGGCGGAGGAATTTAGGATTCTAGAGAACCAAGAGAATTTGACTTTGGGGGTTGTAGAAGTGAGGACCAGAGCTATTTCCATACATCCAAGGTAACTCTTTTCAGAACCTTATAATCAAACCTGACTCTCTGAGAAGGAGGGAAAAATTCTAGCAAGGGCAGTAACAAACAAAAAGCCCAAGTACGATTCCAATCAAGTGAACAGAGTCTGTGTAACTGGGTTGGGCAAGGCAAGGCTTAAAAAGTACATATGCTTGCTCATACAGGTGAATGCTATTTTTGTACATGAGCTAACTCACAAGGTCTGTGGGCATCTAAAATCTTTATAGACCTTTTCCAAAGACAATAAGGAGTTATACTTTGGCTTCTAAATACTTACCCACTGCTTTTCATTATTCAAAGACAAAGATGTGTGCTTTAGGGGTACAGTCTACCACACTGAACACACCGTATACTGTGCACACAAACTAACATGTATATATGTACCCCTCTGTGTACCACAATACATATATACATATACATACATATACATAGAGAGAGATTGGGAAGGTGAAGCAACAATACGTGAAGGCATAATTCATGTGTGTCTGTGTGTGTGTGTGTATGCGAGAGAGAGAACAGATTAGGCTCTGAGATAGAATCATGCTGCAATTAAATAAATGTGGCAACTGCTATCATACACTGCACGTGTGTGCATAGATGACACATTCTTAGCTGACGAGTTTTTCTCTGGGAACATTTAATTACTTTATATTGGAATTAAAAATGACTTTAAGGATTATTATTTTTTGGGGGGTGGTGGTGGAAGACAAGTCTACTTGTCACTTTCATTTGTGTGGTACCACCAAACAGCATGGCCACACAGCCAAGATTCATGGTTAGGATTGAGTGATTTTTTTTTAAGAGTTTACTGAGCACCCAGAGAATATGGCAGTGAGTACCAGTCAGTAGAAAACATTTTTCTGACTTTATCCTTTTTGAAAGGAAAACCCCATCTTTAGTGTGCCAGGGCAAATTCTACCTCTTCCGATCTACCCTGGTCACTCTCGACCCCAGCTGTACACTGGAATCACCTGGGCAGCTTTTAAAAGTTACCAGCATTCAGTACCTCCCCAGGAGTTTCCAATTCATTGAGCTGGGGCTAGGCCTGGGAATCAGCATTTTAAAGAGCTTTCAGGTGGTGGCAATCTGTAAGGGAACGTGGAAAACAGGTGGTCATGCCTTTCAGGACCACTCCACCTTAAAACCAGTCTACTCTCCTTTCAACAATGTCTCATCATTTGGTACTTTCCACATAGGTTTTGTCCTTTTTATGACCACATATTCATTTATTTCACTTCCTTAGCAATTTGTTCCTAATAACAAAACAGCCAAACTTTGTTAAGTGCTTACTATGTGCCAGGCATAATACCAGATGCTTTACTTAACGTGGCTTTCCACCCTAACAGTGACCATCCACTTTTAGTCTCCCATTTATAGGATAAGAGAGGTTAAGAAACTAGGTCAAGGTCACAAAGTAAGGAAGAGGCAAAGCTGGAATTCAAACTTGTGCTTCTCTGGCACAGAGCCCAAGCTCCTGGCCACTCTGCATTCTGTTGCTTGAAGGCCAAGGCTGCCTTATGCTGTTGCCCTTCAAAAAGCACCAAGACAGCTGCCTCGTGCTCAGAAGAGAGAAGAACACTCTCAGTAGGTAGCTTTTGACTGATTGAATGACATTTTGTGATTGGGTGAAATTACTAACTTGGGCAATAATCCTATACATTTATCTAAAAAAATTTGGTCTTCAAAACTCTAAAATATGCTAAGGTTTTCATTGCTAACTTCTAAAGTTGGTAATAAGAACAGAATTCAATTTATGTCTACCCTATTTATTTACCCTGAATGGTGTTTGAATGTGTAAGATTAAAATATTCTGTGGTGCTGGTTATTAGGTCAGTTTAGAATAATAATTAGCATTTAGTGAAAAAGTACCTTTTGGAAAGGTGAAAAAATGCCTTTTTTTGGAATATAAACTTTCTTTTGGTGCCTCTTCTGAGTAATTTAGGAAAATATATGTCCTTTCTTAGCCTGTAGCAGCTTCAGAAAATAATTTATGAATCACGTGTATCTGTCATTTTTTTCTCCTTCTATCATTCACTTAAAAATACAACTGTGGCTGAGAAAAACTGTCCTCTTGGTGTCCATGCCTCCAAAAATGTGTGGATGTGGTCAGGCATCGTGGGGAAAATCTCAGCCAGTCAAATCAGGGGAGGGCAGGCCAAAGCCTGTCCAGACCTCTGGAGACAACTTTGAAGACACCCAGAAAGACCATTCTTACCATTACTTGAGCCCCACATGCCTCCAATCTGAAAAGAGCATCATACAGGATAGAGTGGAAAAAAAATTCTAATTCAACATAATTTTATGCTTCTGGCAGTCAGTCCTTCGGTTTACAAGTTTGGAAGTTGCTGATTTGACTCCCTTTCTCATTCAGGGCTGTGCATCACTGCAAGGCGCTGCCCACCTCAGGGGGTCTTCACCCCATTCTTGGAGGGTTTTAGGGAAATCGTGATTCTTCAGCACTCTCTCTATATATAAATACTGTATATATGCTTCACATACAGACAGTTGTAGGGGAAGATTAGTATCACTCTGGTGAGCTACTGGGTACTAAGTTGGGAACTCATCTGCTGTAATAAAGGTAAGTACAAACGGACGTAGGAAACTACGACAGGCTAAGGACAGAATCAAGGCAGGTAGGAGGCGTGTGTCGGGATGTAACTGCAGTCGTCGTTAAGTATATCAATCGCTACATGCACGCACAAGAGAATCGCCCCACGTTTACCCTGCTGTGGAGGGCCACCCATTTCACAAGCAGTCCACTGGAAGTTGCTGTTACATTCCTTGGGTCAGTGTTAGAAAGCAGGAGCACTGGGAAAAGTCCCACTAGAAGACATGGTACTGGAAGGGCATGCAGAGTATGACAGCAGGTGGCGGGTTCATTCAGTTTAGTCACATACCTCTTTTCCCTGCCACGATCAGCCAAGATTGAATGGAACAGTAGAGAAACAGGGAGGAAATTTAAATATGCAATCAGGCATTAGTCGGGATGGCTGGATTTATGGTGTATTATATATTATTTAACTATACTGTCAATTTTCATTCAGTCATGGGAATGGTCATTTTAGTTGTTTGAGAAACTACTTTTATGGAATGCCTTTATTTCCCCCCTCTTTTGCTGTAGATCTGAATGTAGAAGAAGAGGGAGGATTACCTTAATTTTCAAAAAGGTTATTTTAAGAGATATGATTTTAAATCTTAATTTTGAAATGTGCAGTTTATATAACAGTTTAGCCATAATGAAATCTTGGAATCTTTTCTTGGAAGGTTTGTGTTGTTTAAATCCTTATAGGTTTGGGATTTAGTTGGCCTTGAAATCCTTCGGTTTACAATTATTATCAAAATGATAATTTTTATAGTGGTTTGTAAAAAAAAATGTAAGCTGTATTTATTTAGATGCATGTTGGGGAACTGACAGATTGAACAACATAGAATAATTTGCTCTGTCACTGTGTTTAGCAACCCAGGCAATCCGAGGTTAAAGAAATGGAGATTCTAGTAGAAGCAGAGTAAATTACAGAGATAAAATTCAAAAGATGGCCTGTGATCCACATACCAAAGAACCAATAAAAACAACAGTGGTGGCAACAAAAATAACCACAAAAGACCAAAAAAATATTTTTTGTGTTCTCAACCCTAGTAACCAGACGCTGCTTGAATAATTAACTCTAAGACGCACTTACCTCTTTTGCTCGTTGCTAGAAACATCTGAAAACCTAGGCTGAAAAGTACAATATGCGACCACTTTCTGGTTATTTTAAATAACCTTCCAAAGACTCCTCTCCTTGCAAAATTTCCACTTTCATTCTCTTTGCAATCCCAGTTAAAAGAAAATGGGTGTTAAGGCATCTTATTCACAACCTGACTGGTAAAATCAGTTCTGCAACCTCAGCTAAGGGACACTCAGAGACAATTGCCACCCAGCCTGCTCACCTCTGCGTGGTGCTCCTCATTTTGCTGAAGAACTTCAATGACTAGTTCAGCAAGACGTATTGTGTCTTCAAGCTTTTTGGCAGGAGTGATTAACCGGCCTACATTTTCTGTAGTACAAGAATTTGTGTTAAAATTCAGCGAAAGTGGCAGGCTAGTTTTGTGGCCATTAGATCTAGTGGATAAGAAATTTCAAATAGTTATCAATTTTTTAAAAAAGTTCCATGCAAATGTTAAGTGCCATGTAATTAGTAGTGAGCAAACCAGAAAGCCATTTTATTATTTTTATTACCATCATTGTAATACATATTAGGAAAAAACAGTGCTCCAGCTTCCAATTTGCATATGAAGCTATATTAAGTCTATGACAGCCCATTTCATATTTAGTGACATTTTGTACACATGTTCTTTAAAGACAGCATAAATGTACTATCTTATATTCCTTTCTAGACTGTGTTCGTGCTACCTGAAGTAGGAAGATATAACAGAAGCTTAATCTTGATTGCTGCCACATTTGTTTTCTAGATTGGTCACTAAACATTCCATAAGACAGCATTGCTTTTCATTACAGGTATGGGAGTGTTCATTTTGAAAAAGCAGATTCAAAGATCTGTTTCAGGCTGTTCAGGGAGGAGATTGAAAAGAAAAATTGGACATTCCTGGGCCATTATGTAGATGGTGGGATAGAATTATTATAGAAAGGTGCTGGGAGTAGATTATTGAAGGAAGTGGTGGTAGTTTGTGCCACTGGTTATTACAATTGAAATTTTATCTGTTAGGTTGCAACAATATACTAAATTTTTTTCTTTGTTTTTAGTTTCTCTTGAGTTGAAAGGGTTGTTTTTACCCAGCTCAAGAAGAAACTTAAGCCTGGCTTACGTTGCACCCTTCATAGAGCTGAGTTCATGAATGTCTGACATCGTCACTATGTTGCCAAAAATTAAAAATTTTTTCCCTTGGGGAAGAGAGTAATATTTGAAACATAAAGATTTTCTTAGCCAGTGAAATTGCCTGACTTCAACCCAGTCTGAACTCACAGGGGAACTTGTATTTCATACTTAGCCCCCTTCAAACCTTGAAGCCTCAGAGTTCTTTAGAGCAAATGGAATATAACGGAAATAAGGATCATTTAGCATGATTCCACAAGTAGATGTTCGTAAAAGCATGTTTTGGCTGCAGGATGTTTCTTGCTAGAGAGAATTCCCTAATACTTCATAGGCAGATTTTTTTTTTGGGGGGGGGAAAGGAAAGTGGATTTAAACAAAATTGTAGGAGATTGCTAATTTACAAAAAAAAAAAAAAGCCTCATCATTTACCTTTGTGTATTTCTTAGATAACTGATGAACATATCAGATCATTAGTAATTTAGGATTTGACTTAATAAATAAAATTAAATTCAGTAGAACACTATGCAATAAAAAGGGTTCCAGCCAATGGGAGCTAATTGTGATGAATGGGACTGGGTTTGATTATTTGGGTGTTGAAAGCTTCAGTCTAACAAGGCCTGATGGCTGGTGTGAAAATTAGCTTTCTGGATTCAGACCAATGAAAAGCTCCCCATCTCTGCCATGCCCAGGTGGAAATGTGGCTAGATCTTGTCAGTGCATGAAGGTGGGAGTTGTGCGAAACATAAGTACATAGATCAGGTAAAGAATAGCCAATACTCAGAGCAAGATGTGGGAGTTCAGTTGCTGACAGCTCATTGCCTGGTCCAGAGCAATAAATACTTGGAGAAACAATGAATGACAAGATTAACTTCTGTGCTTTTGGGGCACCTTACCTGTTTTTAATTTCATAAATATACTATCATAATTTCATCAGTAGACTTTCAGGCATTTCTACAAACATACTGTGTATATATGTTTGAGTAATAAGTGTAGAGTGAGATATTTGCATTTTGATAGTAAATATGCATAGGCTACTATTTTTTATTAGTTGATATTCACATTTACACATCAATTTGCAAATTCCTCATCCTATGCTTATTACCCATTCGACACATACACCCACATACACACATCACACACTTACATACATTTTCTAGTAACCAGACAAGGCTGCACATTAATACAAATCTGCAGGAAATCCCACTTGGAGCACATCTTTGAAATCTCTTGCTTTTTAAAAGAGAGCATTGTCCTTTTGGGTGGAACATTCACCAAATCTAGGAGAATTCTGGCTGTACATGACATATGACACAGAAATGAAATAATTCCCACCAATATTTTTATGCACATTTATTTAAAAAGTATGAATGATTTTTATGTTTGGAGAGATCCAAGATGCTCAAGCTAGGACAACCTGAACATTTGTTTTAATATGCAGTACCCTTAGATTGACTACAATATATATCAATAGATACACATAAAGTGTACATGTGCAGGCAGCCATTCTATGAGTGTGTGCACATGTATACAGATATGTGTATGCCTGATGTATATATACAGACAGTATGTTTAATAAAACCTTTTGCAGTTGTACTTTAACATGCAACCATTAAAGTAAGCAGGTTAAAGATCCTTTAACCTAGAATACTTGATCTGTCAATTAACCCATGTAGCCATACTTTCATTTACTATTAATTAGCTGTGATTCCATTATCTGTAGATCAAGCCACTTTAGTGAGACACAGCACTATTTTCCTGTTCATTTGCATAGATGATTCACTAGCTAAATGGCAAAAATGTCACTAAAAGTGACTTTTTAAAAGATGTTGTCTTTAAAGAAAATATTGTGCAAAATTCTTCAGCACTTCCTCCCTCCCCCCAACAGAGGTCAAGGAGAAATTTGTGCTTAGAAATGACTTTTTTTGTTGTTGTTACATCCACTGACTTGAAATGTATTGCAATATTCCTGTCCCCCAATCTTGCACTAGCTGGAGCACTGATGAAATGGAACTAAAAATATAGTATACTTAGGAAACATTTCGTACAACAGAATTGAAGCTCATAACATATAAAGAATTGTCATGCAAAATGTTATGCAACAACAATGTTATTTTGTGCTGACATTGAGATTTGAAAATGTTGCATATGTCAGACATAGCTGGACAAAAAAATGTGGACATTTGGAAATAAATGCTCTCATTCAATTATCTCAGAACCTACAACTTGAGAGCCTGAGCCTCAGCTTCGTATTCCAAACTGAAACAAAACTTCAAGAAGAAAAGTGAACAGAAAAGCAAACTAAACTAGAAAGCTGCTGAGTAAAGGAATGATAGAAGTTTACAGTACTTGATTTTGGCCTAGGCATGTCTTTGAGCCTCAGATATAACATGCTGGTCTGCGTTTGGGTGGGTAGAGGAGGCCCAGGAGGTGGCAGGGGAGCTGCTCAGGTAGGTGAAGAGAAACAATAAAAAAGTAAAGAGACAAAGTGACTTTAACAAAGGGTGACAAGTACGATGACAAACTCTGAAAAGAACAACCGAACAAGCAAAAATGATAAAACACAAATGGAGAGCTGCTGCTTTCTTGATGTTCCTTCAACATTACAGAGGTGTGACATTGTTTGACAAGGACTCTTACCAGCATCACCAGCACACCCTATTGAGACATTCAGAAACTAAACGCAAATACTTGATAATTTATCCACATGGATATATGTGAATGAAGGCAGCAGCATCACTGACCGAAAGAAGATACACTTTTGTACAATAAATGACGCCTATATGTTAATAGCTGCTTCTTCCTTTCAGATGACCAGAAATAGAACTTGGTGTATTAACGAGTTGGGAGAGCTGGCTTCTTGTCCTCCATATGCTACTTACTTTCTACATAATCTTGCACCTGCTACTTAAACCTCTCTGTGCTTTAGTTTCCTCATCTGCAAATTGAGAATATGAATATCTTTTCTCTGTACCTTGCAGGGTTGCTGATAAGAGCAAAGAAAGCATGTATGGGACAGATCTCTGTAAAGCCTAAGGTGCTTATAAATGTTTAGTGCTACCTCCACATTGTGAAAAGGCTGGAATTAATTGCTTTGCAAAAGCAGATGAAGGGCCCTTATTAGTTCAAGTGAGCTAGGCAATATTCTTGCTCCCTTTGTGGAATTTCAACATGTCAAAATCTGTCATTTTGGGGAAAATGTGTGGTATCTGATTGTTTCCAGCTCATTTAATTATTTTCAATTTGGAATTCTCGTGGCTTTTATATTGTGGGTTGACTCATATGTAAAAACTTGCCAGCTTATCAAATATGTTACTTGCTATTCCAAATGTTAGAATACCGTAATCAGCACTTGACCCATCTGTCATGTGGTTTACAATATCAGCACAGCAAACATCCTATAACAATAGCCTCTCCTTCAGTACAGGCACAGAGCACTATCAGCTTCTATAATTCTCTCTCTTTAATGAGTGTCTCATTAACCTTTGACCTGCTCCTTTCTGATAATTCTGGTTTATAAAGCAATCTGTATGATGAGAGGGACATACTCCATTGCCAAGTTTTCTTGTTGGTTTGCTTGAATTTTCAACTGGGAAAATGAATTTTATTGTAGGCATATAGGAAATGGAATTATAGTGAAATTAATAGAGAAAAAGATTGGGAAGTATGAATAAATATAATATTCTGGCAAAACCATCTAATAAAAGCAAGAGTTGATAAGATCCTTTACTTGCTGGACCACCTTGATGTTTTGAATACAGGGCTAAAAAAAAAAAAAAATCTTTGCCAATTTCTTCTTCTTTAAATTGTTTGGGAAAGATTGTGTGTAAATAGAATTTGGAGAAAACAGTTTTAATGATAGCTATTTAAAGAAGGCAACTACTGATCCTTTCATTATATAAAAAAAGTATTCCATATTTTATATTTTGTTAAAATCTAGTTTTCCACTTACAGCACTGCCTAAAGTTAGATATATCTCTGGTAAATCATCCTTAAGGCTCTTCCAATGAATGCATGTTACCTGAGTGTGCCATTGTTATGGAAACTCCTTATTCATTCTCACCCAGATAACTGAACCTGTGCAGAGAAACACTTGATCTGATGGTTAATAAAACAACGAAGTGCCCCTGGGTTGATCCATAACCTGCGAGGCAGCATATATATATTTCAGCTCAATGGGTCTTGATGAGAAACTTGTAAAGGGATTGCCTCCTGCCAACTGTCTG